GGGGGGGCCTTGGGGGATCATGGGGGAAGGAGCTCATTGAGGAGGAGCTGAGTGTCATTAATGTTCTTGAGGAGAATCATCACGTGGACCTTGCGGCTGCTACTAATTTACCCGTTTTTAGAGGATTTTAGCCAACTGGGCAAGACAGGGAGGATTTAGAGTCTCCTGCCTTCGTTATAACATCAAAAATCACACCCGGAGATCAAGATGACCTTATTTTTCTGCTTCCAAGCCATTTATTGCTCTTACCCCATTGATTTGTTGGTGGTTGTTGCCTCCTCGACACTTCTCCTGCTTAAATCTAACGCCTTGCGCTCGGCAAAAACCACAAATCACAGCAGGTTACAACCCCAAGTAATTTATTCTAATTAAAACTTACTTAATTAAACCAGACAACTGCTACATCTCAATGTCCAGGAGGTTCCTCGTACCCACAACTTTAACTTTGGCTTTTGAGGGCTGAGTTTTGGAGAAGCCGCGTGTTTTTTACGCGTTAATCAGCGGATCCGAGTTCCAAATTAATCCCTATTGATGCCTTTCGGTGGGTTTTTGGGGAGAATGGGTTGAAAGGAGAGTTTTTTGGCCCAACCACAGCTCAGAGCCTGTACAAAACTATCGCTGCTTTTTAGGAATATAATTAAAAAAAGGTTGGTTTTTTCTTTTCCCTCCTGAATATCATTATTTTTTTTCATGATATTGAAGAGGGAAAGAGAGATTATTTTTTTTTTTCCACGATGTTCAGGAGGAAGAGAAATGGTATAAATTTGGCGGGGGGTTTTATCCGCTGCGGGGGGGTCATCACCCTCTTTGAGGGGCGATGCGAAGTGGGAAAGGGGAAAAAAAGGAGGGAAAAGAAAAAAGGGAGGGCGGAAAAAGTTAGAGTTAGCAGAGGATGGTTTCGATCCATCGACCTCTGGGTTATGGGCCCAGCACGCTTCCGCTGCGCCACTCTGCTCGCCGGTAAAAGGCGTTTTAATTTGTTTTGATAAGGTATAATTTAATGATTTACACTGATTGTGATAAGGCTGTTTCCTGATTGTGGTGCCCCGTGATGGGGGGGGAGAAGAGGGAGGAGGAGGTGGGTTTTTCCAAAGCAGGAGGGTGACAAAAAGGGGTCGGGGGGGGGGGGTGATATTCTCCACCGGGTGTTTTTTCACCCTTTTTCACGGTTACACCCCCTCCGGGGAAATAAAAAAAAAAGAAGAAATAAAGAGGGATGAAGAGTCAGTTCAACCCCCGCTGGAGATGCCGGGGATCGAACCCGGGGCCTCATACATGCGAAGCATGCGCTCTACCACTGAGCTACATCCCCGGCGGCAGCCTCCGCCCCCGCCGCGCCCCTTGGCACCGCCTCCGCGCCAAGCCACGCCCACTCATTAAGGAAAACCACGCCCCCTTACGAGGCAAACCACGCCCCCTTGTGCTGAAACCACGCCCCCTGGCCGTTTCCCGCGCGGCCCATGGCGGCGCGGCGGAGCCCCCGCCCCGGCGGACGAGGTGGCCGAGTGGTTAAGGCGATGGACTGCTAATCCATTGTGCTCTGCACGCGTGGGTTCGAATCCCATCCTCGTCGGTTAAGTACCCTTTTTCCTTTTTCCTCCAGCAATTAATTCTTTTTTTGGAGGGGCGTGTGGGGGTGTCTC